CAATTTAATGTGCACTATTTCTGGCAGTCTGCTTAGGCCCAATATCTACCATCACAAGCCATTGGCCATATTGGCTGGGTAGATGGTTACTGGAGTCGAATGACATCTGGGGGGGCTACAAATTCCTCACCTCAGACTGACATCTTTGTTCCAGTATCTTCTCCACTCTGGGCAACATCCAGGTAAGAATGGAAGGTAAAGCAACATAAGTCTCGTGGTTATTTCCTTCTTCAGGATTTCAGGGATCCTATTTCGTTTCTTTCCTTTCCCTTTCCTGTATCAGTAGGCCACTCCTTGAGTCCTTTGCTTGTTCTGTAAAGCATTACACCAGAAGAATGTGTTCTGTTTGCTTAAGCAGGCACGTCCTTCCCATCTTAAATGCATCAATTTCACCCTAGAGAACAATGACCAAAATGAGTTCAGGACCCTCTTTTGACTGAATTCTTTCACAATGAGCAATACACGTACAATCGATTGCATTCTGAAGAAGGTCCTCTGCCATGGGACAAACCCCAGGACCCAGTGGAATGGATCCAGGTCATCAGGTCCCCTGATATTGGCAACAACTGAAGTTATTGCAGCCTTTTGTATGTATAGAGGCTTTTATGCCTTTAACTCCTAACAGCCAAAACCTGAGCAGCAACAAGCAGCATATAGAAGAGCAACAGGACAATCTCTCTGACTTGCATTTCTTTGCTTCCCAATGTGCATTCCCTCCCACCATCTTTGTCTTGTATTGGTTTGCTTTTGGGGAGGGTGGTGCATGGAAGTTCATGTGTATTTTGGGAGGTGCATTTTGGCATGCATTTTTCTAACAGATTTTATAATTCTGTGCATTTTTGCAGGCAGTTTCCCAATGACTACAGTATATACATCCAGTGTGGTGTAGTAGTTTGAGCATTGGGCTACATTTCTGAAGGCCAGGGTTTGATTCCTGTTCAGCCATGAACCCACTTGTTGACCTTGAGCAAGTCACAGTTGCTTAACCTCAGGGGAAGACAATGGCAAACCTCTTCTGAACAAATCCTGGCAAATCGGAAATGACTTGAAAGTACACAGCACACAGTATATTAGTGCACATTTTCCCAAGATGTATACTTTGTGTTGCATGTATTTATTTTCCTATCTAAAAAGACAAAAGAGGGAAGGATCTATTTCAGGCAGTTTCTTCCTAATTATGAGAAAATTAAAAATACACACATTCTTTCATTAAGAGGCCACAAACAGCATAAATGGGGGGGGGGGGTTATTCGAGTAAAGCAATTTTCTTCTATAGCCCAGATAGAACCTGCTCATGCAAACTGAAACAACAGGAACTGAATTATATGGGCATTTAAGACCATAAGCTAAACCATGTTAGATCACACCAAATATCTGTCTAATCCAGGGGTAGGCAACCTTTTTGAGCCGGGAGCCAGGTTGCTGTCCCTCAGACAATCGGGGGGCCGAAGCACCAAAAATAAATAAATAAATAAATATAAAAATAAGTTTTTTTAAAAAAAAAATTAAACAATAAAAAAATATGCATGCACACTCTCTCAGCCCCAGAAAAGCCATGGCAAAACCCCTGGGGGAATTTTGCAAAGAAAACCCAAGAACAAGTAATAACAACAATAATCAATATCATTATGGCGGGCGGCGGCAGCGGGGGGAGGGGCGGCGGCAAGACCACCCTGGGGCTGGTCCAAAGGCCTCTTTGGGCCGCATCCGGCCCCCGGGCCTTAGGTTGCCTACCCCTGGTCTAATCTGTCCTTGCATTCCATAATGGCCAACCACTACCTATGTAAAGTCAGGCTGCAGGAAATGAGCACAATTGCACATACACCC